TAAAATGCATCAAATGTCTTTCCAGTGTAATGTCCCACTTCACCCCAGCGTAGAGCCAAAACCAACCAAAACCGATTTCTTTTCAGGTAACCTCAAATTGGCTGCGTTCGTAAGAGATCCACATCCGTAGTGCGTTCATCGTGACGGAGTAACGTCGTGGTGGGATGCACTCAGTGAGTTAGCTGTGCAACACTTCCATGCATTTGCAGTGCCATGGTGCGTGGTATGCTAATCAAACTAGTAGCTGAGATTAGCGAATGGTAGGGGTAACTTTGTAAAAAAGGCAATCGGATCAACCTGCACTATCAAATGAAACATTCGGCGCAATCCGTGAAACCTCGTGACATGCATTGAATGACAACGCCGCATTCTTTAAACAGAAATTACAGAAAAGCGCATTCGCACAACAATGGTCTCCCACAATTTTCATTGACGAAAACAAAATCTTTGTAGTTTGTTACTATCGCCAATTGAAATACGATTATTTATTCAAAAACAACTTTATCACGCTTGAGAGGCGAGTAAAACATGAGGCGAAAAGGGGGTGAAGATGGCGGTACATAGTAACCTAATAACAATAAATAGCACCTTCAGTTGAAATAGCTCGTGTTTAGGCATATTTTAGGGCATGAAGTAGGTGGAATCTGTCTAAGTGCTTAAAAGCAACACAGTACAACTTATCTGGGCTCTGGATGGAATTAGCACTGAGGAGGAGAACTCGTGAGTGTGGTGGCGTGTTTTAGATGGCGTGACGTTAGCGCACAAACACGTGCAAACACAAACACGCATTGTTATGCGAAGCAACAATGAGGGGGAGATCGCACGTGTTGACACATGACCGACAGCCCCGCGCATAACTGGTGGTTGTAATCACCGGACAGTCATGGCACGAGATAATGGATAGGCTATGATTTAATTTAACTAAGCGCATACCAATTCAATTCAAAATGATACCAATGCACCAAGATGGTAGAGTAAATCGAGATCAAAAGTTAAAGTCGTCGAAGAACGAGCCTAAAGAGGTGCAGAAAAAGTGCGGGAAACATGCAATTGACACCAGCCGAAAATACCCATCAAGTGTTAAACGAAATTAAAACCCATAAAAGGCACTATATGCAACCCATCCACTAGTCAAAGTACTGGCTGAATAAACAGGAATTGAGAAAAATGAATGCAAGGTTAAGCTGAGACCTGGTAAACCAACCCCGAGGACGATGCAGTGCAAAAGGACAATAAGACGTCGCGAGAATTTGAGCAGGATGCAAAAAAAATGAAAAGAATAAAGCAATGCAGTCCATTTTGGTGATTATGCATAGGAGAACCATTCAGAATGTCTTAGCATCCGAGGAGAATTGCTCGAAGAGTAACTAAATTGACAAGGGCGAGTAAATTGCAAAAGTATTAAAACTAGAATGCAAACTATTCACTCATTCAGTGACATCATCCAAGGAACTCAAGAGAAAAATGACTATTGGAGACATGGAAGGCGGAAAACCAAATGAGATAAAAAGATACTGAAAATGAATTCAAAAGAATTACCAGCTAACGAGTCAGCATAAGAACAGTTAAGCAAGGAAAAAACGATAGCGAAAAAATATGCGCTACACGTGCCAAATAACTGATGGGCATCCATTACGCTGAAAACCCGAACTCACCAGATCGAATCACTTTGTTGAAAATGTGATAAAGTATAAATTTATGGTACACCGCTTAGATGACCTTGAAGTTAGTAATTATAAAGACAAATGAAAACTCAAGAAGAGAGTTTTAGAAAATTTGGCACTGATAAGAAAAATCTATTTAAACCGAATTGAGAAAGCGCAGATTCTAGAATTCATTGCGAATTACTGAAAATTATAGCAATCTTGTTTCTCGGCATAACATAAGAGCTGTTGCGATCATCCAAGCACGAAAACAATTTGATAAAATAGCGGGTTTTGTTCAAGTGTGATGATGACATAGCCCAAAAGGGCACCACACTATGTTAATAAATTAAACAAGACTATAATACCGCATTTTATTTAAAAAGCGGAGGAAATCGTAGATCGTTAATACGGCGAAGCTAACTTTGTTCGGAACGTTATAATGTAATATATACTAGTTTGTTTAAGTGGACTTTTATAGATGAGAGGCGGGAACCAATTGGGAACGCAAATCACGCGCACGAAGCCGGTGTGGAGTCTCCCTCCCATTGATATCTCCCACTAGCATCGTCTGCATCCCATTCCCCATTCTTCCTATAACAAATGCCTAATATCTTATCTGCAACTAACTCTCTCTCTTGAATTCTGAGGTTCAAGGACCATGGGCCAGATGTGGACCTCTTACATAGACAACATTGGTGGTTTTGTGGGATCAGCGTAAATAGAATATTTACAATGTGAATTATTCTGGTCTAACCATTCCATACAAAGCAAAAATCAAGTCCTGCAAAAATATAAATCTAATTTAAGAAGTCTTTTATTATTTCTGGCTGAAATTTAAGTTTGAAAACTAAAACGTTTTACACGTGGTTTTGTTGTTTGTTTAAGCACATCACGCAGGTTTATTTTACATCCGGATTACGCGGGGTAAGGGTTTTCTCCATTTTGAAATTTCCGCTACAAAAGTGAGCGAAATTCTAATTTTCCGGCATTTTCAAAATATGGTTGGGAAATCTGTCTCTCTCCATGTCCCAGTTTTCGAGTCCTCAACGCGTCTATTGCAGTATTCCACGCATATCAGATCATCGGAATCATATTTTGAAAGTGCTGCTTTGTCACTCCTCATTTGGCCTTAATGTAATTGGTGTATTTAGGATGGTTTGCTTTTATGGATCTTGAACTCCTGTATACTGCTCAGTTCCGAAATTTTTCCTTGTATGTTATGTTGGCGTTTATTGTCTATATCATTTTTTAACGACATGCTCCATCTCATAGTGGCGGGTGTCCTCTTAGTGCCTTTTGTATAATGTGGATTTTAGTAATGCTTTCTACTGTGCTATCGTCGAAGCTCTTATTATGACGGTGTAATTTTTGACTTTGTATCCCAGAGTTTCGTCGGATTCTGCTAGCCTTTCTGTACTGTTGAATATTTGGCGTTTGTACTAAATGGACATAAAGGCTGAATCATTTGTGAGTGGTTCTGGCGACTTTTTTGACATACCGGCGGCGGAACAGGAAATTACTGTTGACTCTAATGATCAGCCTAATGTATCAGGAGTGGGTTCATCGTTGGTGCAGAACATTCCAACAGCATCAAATGAAGGTGTGTTTCAATCTGTTGCACCTTCCATTGTTCGAGTAACTGGCACTCCACAAACTGCTCGTGGACCTCGTGTAATTATGGTGCAGCGCTCTAGTCAGGGTGGTGTGCCCTCTCCTGCGCAACCAGGTCAGGGTATTAAGGTAGGTTCCCGGCTGTTTGTCTACTATTGCTAAGGTTTATTTTTTCGACTGACTTTTCGTTTTTTAGACCGTCAAAATTATCACCGTTCCTGGTCAGGGGGCTGGTGGTAAGCCAATTAAAGCTGCTGTTATACCCATGCACATGCTCCAACGGGGTGTTAAGGTTCTCACCAGTTCTGGTCAGCAGACTATCGGTCCGGGTGGAACGGTAATAGCTTCGGGTGGGGTTGGGTCACCTGTGGGAACTTCTCGCGTTCTGGCTCTGAGACCACCTACTCAAATTGCCGGCCAGGCTACAGGAAATGTGACCTTTTTGGGAACGCCTGGCACCCATATTCGGCCGGTAGGGTTTAATTTGCAACGTAATCTCCCATAACCTTGGTGTTTTTTATCCGTTTCACTGGATTGTAGAGAACGTTTATCGTGTCGAGTGCATCAGGCCAAACGCGCGTGGCTCAGGGGTTTGCATTGCCTCAACAACTGTCACAGCAAGTAGGGGATGAGGTTGAGAACTCTTTTATATCTGCGGGTGGCGCTGGTGCTGAGGGTTTTGTTCAGCCTGGCTTTCTTGATCTCTCTGCTGCCACTGCTGCTGGACATCCCGCTGCCGCTCACTTTACCCGTCAAACCAGTCCGGGTGCCCACGAGTCGGAAGGGGAGCAAGACCAGTAAGTTTTATTTTCATGGCCAAAATCTACTTCTGACTTGAATCATTTGTAGCGTAACCACAGGACTCAAAACTAACGGGCTTAGACGTTACGCTCGCTGCGTTTGCAATAAAGTGAAGGAGAAGAATGTAACGTCCTACAGTGAGGTTGCGGATGAACTTGTTCATGAATATGCAGCTGAACATCCAATGATTCCATCAGAGCAGGTAGACAACTACCTTAGTCGACGTTTTCCTCATTAATAATGAAGGAGAATATAGTGTGATGCTTATCATTTAATTCTAGCTTCATTATATTCAAAAGAATATTCGCCGCCGAGTTTATGACGCTCTCAATGTGTTGATGGCTCTCAATGTGCTACAGAAGGAGAAGAAGGAAATTCGGTGGGTTGGGTTGCCAGTTAATATGATTGAGGAGTGCCGAAGGCTAGAAGAAGAACGAGAAAAACGGCAAAATTCTCTTAGAAATAAGGTAACGTCAGCTTCAAATTTCTATCCCAAACCTGCTGTAAGCGTAGATATCCCGCTTTTTGTCTGGGAGAGGAGGGAGACCGTGCCATTTATGTGGTTTTTCGGCCTGTTTTGTCCTTTTAGACGGCTGAAATACAGGAGCTGATCTTACAGCTAATCGCCTTCAAGAATTTGATAACGCGAAACCGTATGAACGAGCGCTACCAACGACAGCGCCATGTTCAGCGAGAGGCTAATGAGGTGGCGGCGAACATGTCTGGTACGAAGTCGCATACCAATTTAGACGAGAGTGTCGCAGCTCTTATCCCTCAACGTCTCGATCGCATCTCCTTGCCCTTCCTCGTTGTCTCAACTCTCAAGAAAACCGTAATCGACTGCAATATCTCAAAAGACAAGTAAATGTCCAACTTACGAACTACTCATGGTTGCAAATTAGCTTTTTTTGAATGCCATTATTATCTAGAGAAATTTTTTCCCCTTAGACTGGAATACTATTTCAACTTTGACCAACCCTATGAGATTCGTGATGAAGTTGACACTTTGAAGCGAATGGGCCTTACTCTGCGACTGGGCAGTCCACAGTGCACCCAAGAGGAGTACAATCAGTGCCTTGAACTCATCCCTCCATCGTTGCGCTTTTATGTTGAAGGTTACATTGAATAATTTATTTCAGTTTTATCACTAATTAATCCTTGCATTAGTATTAAGTTTGTTTCCTTTGGTCCAGTTTAAATGCTCAACTGAGGTTAATACATTCGGGGTAGGCTTGAAATTGATAACATTATTTAGCATCCCTAGTGCGGTACTGGCTGAACCTACGTTTATTTCATAGCTATCTTTGAGCGTCGCCAGGCTATAGTGCCCGATTTTGAGGCTCTTCATCAACAGCGTCGTCTCTATGTGGAAGCACGTTTGGCTGAAGTTGCAGCCGCGGGTGGTCCAAACACGACTCCCGCAGGTGTACCAGACTCTCACACCCACCACACCCAGCATCACCGCAGACGCTTCGGTGATGATTTCTTTGACGACGAGGAGGAGGAAGAGGTGGTGGGTGGAGGCGGTGGTGAAACCACAGATGATGGTGGTGCTGCCTCTGAACAGATTCATTTGCAGCGTGCTAGTTCTGGCGTTACATCAAGCACTGAGATAACTCCTGGTGACACCCAGCATTATGCACGTGCCGCAGCCTCTCGCGGCTTTGTTGTTCCTGGCGGTCCGGGTAGTCTTCTACGTCACTCTGCTAACACTGTGCACCGTCAGGCCGTAAAAATGACTGTTGAAAGTGCAATGGGCGAGGCGTCGGAGAACGCTTCGGCTGCGGCGGCCATTAGTGGGGGTGGCAACGGTGCTGGGGATGGTGCCACTGCTGCTGGTCGCCTCTTCGATGTTGGGGAGGACGAATCGGACGTGGATATGGCCGAGGAGGAGGACGATGATGAAGACATGGAAGACGTGCAAGACACCTTGAAGCCGTCTCCATGATTCCGAAGCATGCAATGTTGTAAATGCATTTTACTACTGTATTTTTTGCCACTGCTCTCGTTTTGTCGCGTGAGGGCAACTGTATTGTCACAAAAATTGACTATAACTGGAGAGACATATGCCTTTAAATATATACTATTTGAATCTTCTCTTTTCTCATAACCTTGCCGGAACAGCTTGTAGGAGTGGGTGTTCTGGTGCAAGTGCTGATTTTTTGTGCTTGTTTTTTGGGTTGCCGATTTTACCCACTAGGAGTTTTGTTGCTGAACTTATCGGAATGTGGTGTTGGTTGGGCTCTTGTGAGTTGCTGTGTTTGTCAAATGTTGGTGTCAAGTTCGTGCGGTGATGATCACTCAAATCTGTTAAAATCCAGCAAACATCAGTGACCAATTTGATAAGGGACTAGTTAGAAATGCACTTGCTCCCTGCTATGGGTTGGCTTCAACTGGGATGAGTCTCTAAACAATTGTTTCTAGTTCTGCACGTACAATCGATGGGTGTTCGTTCAGTGAACTAATATTCGGTGGCTGAATTATGGTGCTCAAGGTGCTTAATTTGCCGCTGAGGTTGAACGTATGTTTGATTTCTTGTGCACGAGATGCTGTTTAAGGCAGGCATTTTGTGTCGGCTGAAAACAAGGTGGATTGCAATAAGATCGATCGCCTTCTCAAGTGACATGCTGCTGAAGGAGCAAAACATTATCAGATTCACATTACTTTTAAATTTTTATTGCAGACAATCGAAAAATGGGAAAAAAGGGGGATGCAGACAGGATCGAAAGAAAGAGGTGAGGTCATTGATCACATTGAAGGTATTATTCCCGTAGAAAGTTAACGGAACATTCAGAATACCCTCCAATGAAGAAGGAAGCCGTGGATGCATTCATCCATGCTACCACCTCTGTAAGCAGTCGACCGGTTTGTAGATACGGCTCTGCATGCTATCGACGTAACCCTGATCACTTTGAAGAGTATTCGCATCCTGGTAGGTGCAAGTGAGGAAAAGTGCATTGATTTGATTTTGCGACTAACTGGAGCATCTATTACCATCTCAGACAGTATAAGCTCCCCACACAACCCGTTCACTTCCGACCAATCGGCGGCACCTGAACTTGGATCGGGCTATGGCTTTTACGTGTTCCGCGTGAATGGCGTTAATTATGGTTCCATTCCAACTGTTACTCTCACTGGTAAATCAGAGAGGCACTGTTTAATTCTATTCCAATCAAACTAACCAAAAGCCGTCGGATTTGTAATTCCCAATTCCATTTGTTGTCTCGACGTTGCACATGAACTTCAGATGGCGGGAAGTACTTGAATAAATGGAGCAGTGTTAAAAGTTGCACCAAGCTAGTCTCTGCAATGATAGGATTAAATGGTATGAATGAAAAAAGAGTATAGAAGTTTGGGTTCTTTCGAGACAACAGCATGAGAAATGCTTGGACTAAATGAACACCTTTTTATCGTTCGGCTAGGTGAGAGGAAATTAATTTTAGAATCACTACCTTTGGTTATGACGTCTAAACTTACTACAATTCTTACCCCAAAGCCCTTTGCTATGGGAAGATGGCAAGTCTTGAGTTGAAAAATAGTAACGGATTTGTGCGTCGAAGTTCAATCATTACCAATGAATGAGTTTATTCTATTTCAAGCAGATTTCTGGATATTTAACTACTTGTTGTCATTTTTTAGAGATTTTAGATGAGAGGAATGGCAAGCTCATCGAGTCAGCACAGGTAAGGGAAAAAATGTTTTACTCGAAATGTTGTGAGCTTCCGTTTAGTTCTTCGGTTTTTTGTGCAAATTTAGTTCAACTACATGTTTGAACTCGAGTGGTTGATGCAGCAGTATCCTGAGAAATATAGGTATGCATCAATTGGTGAATATCGTGCTATTCTACTACGGTACCTTGGAGTAGAAATAGGTGTTTTGATGTGTTTTAAGGTCCCTACCCCTGCTAATTGTTCATGGGTCTTCAGACGGACAGAGTGAAGAGCTTCGGTCACAGGCGTCTCGATGGGAAAATGTGTCAATTTTGGAGGTATGAAATGCTTGACCAAAAGTGGAACCATGCAAACACGATCTCAACTGACTTAAAAACGCTCTTTCACCTCTTCTACCCGCATTATTTACTTGTTTAGGCTCCTCTCCCCATCGCCTACGGAACGCACCACACGTAAGCAATAAGTTATTCACCTCTACCTTATTGAATAGTAGATGAGACGGATGTTGTTTTTTTTTTTAATTCCGAAACAGCAAGATGATGCTGCTGCACTATGAAGACGGGTTGCGAGTTGTGATTCACACTGCCAACCAGATTCAGTCGGATTGGCTCCTTCGAACTCAAGGGTAATTATGATTTTATAACCCTTTTATTGGCTGGGATCAGAAAGAATGAAAACGGCAATGGTAGCGATTTCATGTCCCTACTTTTATCTGTATTTGATAATCATTACAATTTCCTCAGGTCGTTATGAAGTTGGCATAAAATTGTCATTTTTGCCTTATTCAAATTGAAATCCAAAGTAGCTCTTCAGACTCCCGTGAAGACAAGAGGAGCCATGATTTCTAGGTAGAACACGTATTGTTTGTAGCCTCGCCATCACTGTCGTCTAATTCCTACTTAATAGACTCCAAGAGTTAGTCTTCTCCGCAATGTTTCATTAGGCATTTTGGTAGAGTACAGAAGATATGCGAAGAAAGCTTATTCTCTTCTCAGGGCTAAGTTAACCTTCTATTCCAGCACCCCTTTCGAAATGGTCTCACAAAGTATGTCCAAACAGCTCATGCTTATTACATTGGTTTAGGATTCTTAACATATTGCACAGTCCTACTCCTAATTTTGAGTTTCATCTTTGGTGCTCTCCTTGATTGGCCCCTTCATTAGGCACCATAACTTAACTGCTGCTGCTGTAAGAGACACCAATGACACAAACAAGATCGGTTGTCGTATTTCTATGCAACTGGGTTGAAACTGGATTGCAGAGTTACTTATCCATCTTGCCAACTTCATTGCATTTTGAGTTTCATTCTGTATGGGCAATGAGTTCGGTAACGGGTGAATGCGCTGGCCATCACACTAGTTGTGGGAACACCGACTTAGAAGCGGTCATGTGACAAAGTATGAGACAACTTCATAAGGGTGTGGCTTATATCCAAGCTCTTATCGCCATCTTATTTTAGCATCGGAGCCTCCCAGCCCTGTCTACTCAGATTCCAATCAGAGTATAAGCACATCCTTGATCCATTAACACAAGCATAGTGATCAACTTCATGTTGAAACTTTTGCAGTATCGCTTCCATTATTGCTGGCTTTGCCACAAATCGTGGGCTGAGGTCTAATTTCTGGGTCCTCTGCTACGACTCGTCAATGGTTTCGCATTCATAACATGCACACTTCTTCCACTTCGCTATGGCCAATTACTATGCGGTAGAAATTAGGATGAATGCCCTTTAAATCAGGGGCCACTTTCTACTGTCAACAATGTCAAGCTCTAAGACCTTTCTGAATAAGGAGGGAGGCGTAATACTCATACAAACTATGCGTGTATTTGATGTATAGAAGGACTTGAAGCTACTCGTCAACCAAGGTAGGGTATCATAGCGAAAACACATTAGCAGAGCGTAAAACACACTCTTAAAAGAGTGGCAAAAATATCACAACATCCATTTAAAGCTATTGACGAGTGTTTCCAATGTATGACGAACTGGTCACAAATTCTCATTCCCATTGCATTATGTAGCAAACATATGACATTCTAGTTGTGCTGATTTTCCGACTGAATTGTTTAAAGTAGACTTGAATTTTCGGTCTTTCATGTTCTTTTAGAATATGGATGTCCCCAAAACTGAAGCGTGGCAACGGCGAATCCACGACACATTTTCGGTCTGATTTGCTTGGGTATCTATGCGCTTACAAGGGAGGATCTCGAGCCTCAACACATCTCGATCACTGGATTGACGTGATTCAGGATCACGATTTTAGTTGTTTGAAGTAAGTTAGATGTTCCATCTATAGCGTTGCTAATAAACACGATTTTTACTTTGAATCTGTCCTACATCGACGTTGAATTTGTAACAATACGGTGTCGTCAGTTATACGGTACAGGTTCGAGTACATTCATTCTATACTTTCCACTGAGAAAAGGCTACACAATGTGGTGGTAGATGTAATCAGATGAATATTTAACAAACAGTGAAATATTACAGAAAGGGCTAGGATATGATGCCAATAAAAGCTATTGAATTATACAAGGAAAAATGCTTAAACCAATTTACGTGTCGGCTTTCTTTTGATCTTATGATGTATGGGGGGAACCGCTTGAAGCACCACCAACGTCTCAAATGGGAGCAGCCTTCCAGTCCATCTCGTTGGTGCGATGCACTTTTACTTTAGTGCTATTTTTCCGATTTTCAGTGTTGTTAACGGGAATAGGCCACCTTTGATACTTAAAATAGATGAATTTATTAAGCTTGCACTGTTGCTCCCAGATTGAGCTCATCGGAAAGTTCTGTCCACTGCTGCTGTTCCTTGTTCTTACAGGACAGGTGATTAATGCATAACCTTACTCACCGGGTGTAGTGGAGACTTGTATCCTTGGCTATGTCCTCCACGCAACCATTCCTCACTGTTCAGTTGAGAGTTACAAACAGCGAC